ATTATTTTGTAGTTCGGACAAATATCTGATTCCCAAAATGTTATTTTCATGGTTTTTTTTTTAATTCTATTCTATTTAGATTTATCTCAATAATTGTCTCCATTTATAGTATGTTTCTTCTCATATGTTATACATCGCTGAACTAAACTATAACACTTGTGCATGTTTTCTTTCATTTTGATTTTAGAAATCATGCCGTTTAACCTGCACCTTAAAGACAACTTACATCAATTCACGACCAGTAAAGTCATCAACAAAATTGAATTATTGAATTGAAATATATAACCTTTTTCTTAATAAAGTAAGATAACTTCATTAAAGGAAGCAAGACTTGGAAAAAGGCACAATAGTTATACATGAATAAGGCCGATGAAGTGACCAAAACCACCACCTAAGCCAAGATAGGGAGGACAAGCCAAATATCTGCTGTACAAACTGTACACAACCCAATAAACAGTTGCCACAAAAGGAGACCAACCAAAAACATCACCAAAGCCCAACATCTGCGGTGATGTTTTTAGTGTTATTAGTTTCTGGGTGGAATTTGTTTGCTAGGTTGCTAGGGCAAAATGTGTACCACCTGTTAGTAACATAAATTGTAACTTTCATAAAGTTCTATTTTTCATAAGCAAAAGTTATGGATGCTAAATGTGCTATTTGTTAATGTCCATCTGGGTTTTTCATCTCTGACAAATTAGTGGTTGAATTTGTTTCTTGATTAACATGATGTTTACTTGTATAATATGTTTTAATCAGCGCCAACCTTGTTATATATGTGGCTCCATAGGCTACGAGAACTACCTAGCAGCATGTGTGTAGTGAACAGTTTTTCACAAGCATGCGTGTCACGCCCCAACCCGGGAGCGTGATCGGCACCAGGACTAGGTCACAATCCGGTAAGCCTCGAGACAGAATGAAAAAGCCAGGAAAATTTATACATAACTAGAACGGAATCAAAATATAATAACAGAATGTTATCCGTACAAAATGTGTTAGGTATAACTGAGTGATACATGGAGCTACTAGAATACAACAACAAAAATAGAATATACAAGCGTGCCCGTACATCAACAAGAGCAATGGTGGACAAACACGGTCCAGAATCTATTGCAGCCGGACAGAACAGAAATATGGAGAATGGGGAAATAAGGGGTGAGTATAAACTCAGTGAATGCCAGCGCTGACCTAAACATGCGGTGACATATATCACAACATCTAAACGAAGTATCGTCAAAAAAATATATATAATCATCTCGCCTGTCAAAACATGATAGCCTCTGGTAACATAGTTTGAAAACAACATAAACAGCGGTCGGAGTATCAGAACAGATCACGTAGCATGTAATGTACCCGGATCCCGTACCAAAATCAAAATCACATATCTCAAATCATCAGACCCAGGGTGCTCCCCGCACGCTATGACGACACATCGTTCACTGGCTGTGCCCCTGGTATCCCATATCAGAACCACAGAAAACTCCCGATAGTGTAGTTTGCCAAAACACAAATATATGTATCACATAGAGGTAGAGTCAAATTTAAATTCAACAAATAAATTTTACATTTCTCACATAAAGAAAATATAGGATGCATGTCTCTCATTTTATAACAAAGTACCAAAAATATGTAGCAGATATAGCAGGAAATCAAAGAATAGTCATATGTGTAAGAAAGTACTGGCACTCACCGGGTGCATCAAAATCGAACGCCGAACCCAGACAAACGGCTCAATAATTGATGCGTGTCTCTTCCGGAGTATGTACAATAACCGACACATACGTCAAAAACGAAATCAAAATTTACTTCTAAAAAAACTAATTTATCAAAAACGGCCCGAGGCTTAACCCCTCGCCCGGGCCCCCTCAGCACGCAACCTGATACCCCCCTTGGAATGCCACTAATTTACTCAATTTATACCTAAACCAATACTACATTTCATTATTAATGAGCCTCATAAATTAAATGAACTGAATTCCCAAAAATGTGAACTGAGCTTGAACCAGATTCCCGAATCTCATATCCAAACCAAACTAACCTTAATTTATCAAAACCCGGACCAAAACCCCGCTGAACCGAGTCGAACCGGGCTCATTTCCCATAAACCGAACCAAACCGAGTTGAACTGGGCTCTATTCTTCCTAACCCATGAAGGATTGGTCCCCAACTATAGAGAATCGGACTGAACTGGCCTAGATCCCTGAGAAAACCCACTGAACCGGGGCCTTAAACCCCTGAACCGGCCTTAATTCCCCAAAAATAGGCCGGTTCAACCGCTTTTCCCCAAAAAACTCCTTGAACTGGACTGGTTCCAGCCCCGAAACCTGTACCAAAACACCCATCTCCCCTCTCTGAACCGAGAACCGAGCTTGGTTCCTGGATCAGGGTTCAAAAAACTCCTGAACCGGCCAGTTCTAGCCCAACAGGGCTGGACCGGACCGGTCAAAGGCTGGTCAGACTCGGACAGCATCCTGGTCTCGTCCCTGTTACCCAGAAACTCGAGTGAACACTCGGTTTTTGTAACCCCCTAAATCCAAACACCTAGAGCTCAAAATCCAATCAAATTCACATACCTTAATTCAATTGAAGCATTCCGAACCGAATCCCGTGAATTTCGAGCTCCACAACCGTTCTTAAGTGGAGAAAAATTCACTCAATCACACAAATTTTCCAGAATTTTTCCGTCCGGTACCGTGCGGGTTCCATGTTTGATTTCTCCATTTTTCTTACTAATTCTCTCAATTGAATATTCCTCCAAGACCGTTTCAGCTCTATACAAGAAGTCTCAAAGTTGATTTTGAGCTGTCCCACTCCTATTGGAGCGAGTTAGCTTCTGGGTTCTTCGGCCGACTCTCGGCCAGATTTTTTTTAAAATTAATTATAGATATTACAATGTGTATGTTTTTTTGCTTCTCCATCCAACACATTATTAATTAATTTGATTATGTGTATATTGTGATTTTCTTAGTTGTTCTTATTGCTTCCATGGCATCTGAATCAGTGTTTTACCATCTTCTCACCATGTTTCTTTGCCAATCTTTACATTTGAACTGCAAAACAACAAGAAGGGCCTTCATTAATTAGTAATTTTCAAGTTGTGTACAGATGACTATCCTTTTCATAGAAAGATGATCATACCTAGGTTGAAGAAAGGGAGATTTATATAGTCTTGTGTTCAATAGCATTAATTTCCTATTTTATATGGCTATTCCATTTTTTTTTTTTGGGGGGGGGGGGTTATTTTAGGTATTGCATGCCACTAATTACATTCATGTTTCCAAATAATTGGATATGTAAGAAATGTTGTCCAAACAGCAAAAGAGTTCCACCTGATGAATCTAGCCTAACGAGATCACTTCCCCGTGTTCCTCCTTGCCGTGTAATGGAGAAAGATGCCAATGAGACAATAGATGAAACTTAAAAGGAGTTAATGTCACATTCCCAAACTTGGGCGTGTGACTGGTACTAGAGCAAATCTAATAATCTTAGTTAGTCTTAAGAATTGCTATGAAATTAACTTAAGTACAGGAATTTACCAAAAATTTTAATAAAATTTTCCTTAAAAATTGAGCATAATCACATAAAAAAAATTTTAGGCCGAATACATGGTCTAAAGAAAATTGTTAATATTATGATAATAAATTGGGCATATATGAATTGATTATGTATGATGACCACACACACACACACACACATACATATATTATATTTCCTGCATTAATACATAGTATGTTAATATCACTATTTATAATGTTTTTTCCTTCTTTTCTTTTTACTAGAAAGAAAGGTTTACTATTATTACCCCAAAAAGACTTTCCGAAGTTGAGACAAAAACCTTATTTTCATCCTACTAGAGGCAACTAAACTTGTGCAACAGACTATTCGACTAAAGTTGGACTTTAGAGACTTGTTGAGTTAGAAATGAAAACCCTCTTCTCTTTGGCTTCGGTCGAAATTGTGTACGATTCACATCACCTGCCAAACTTATTTTTCTTTGTATGTTTAAGTTTTATATTCAAACAAGGAAGAAGAAAAAAAAAATTGTAACGTTAAGGCTCAGCCTAAAGCATAAAAATTTGTATACTTTCTAAAAGCCATGCAAATGATGGTAAGGCCAAATATCTTCACACACGTAAATCATGTTTCCCCTATTTTTTACTGTTTATCCCTTAGAAAGATTTGCTTGTGGTCTATCACATCATTCCCAATTTTCTTTTAGGGTGTTTTTGGAAAACTCTTCCCTTCTATTTCAATTAAGGATAAAATGCTTGATTGGTATGAGTTTAATTTTTGACAATGATTTAAAAGGTCATTTTTTGGGACTATTAAGATGTAATTTCATAAAATTTGTTTGGATGATAAAAAAACTCAATCAATAAAGTGACAATTGCGATTTTAAATCTTTTCATCTCGAGTTTTAATTTATTCTGAAAAAAAGAAAATTAGTATATAAAATATGTTTATTTATGAGATATTTTTAGGCAGATGCGTATTTATTTTAGAGATTTCATTAGATGAATGAATATACAAGAAATGTTATGCAAATGCAAAAAAAGTTCCATTCCATCAACCTAGCTAGGTCAACAAAATCCTTTTCTCGTATTCCACCTCCTCGTGCAATGGAGAAGGAACGATGCCAACGAGACAATAGATGAAACTTTAATTAGAGGTCTAAGCAATAACAATTTTATAGTTCACATAAAAAGGGGCCAACAATAGATAAGACACCCAATCGAAGGACTTACTTTTCTTATGTTTCATTTTTGTTTTAGAAAATGCAAAAAAAATAAATAAATAAAGGGATGATGAAGAAGAAGACAGATCTAACTAGTTTTAAGTTCCACAATATAAAAAAAACTAGTATAGAGATATTTAGTTCAATAACTTAATTTACTAATCAAAATGAAGTTTAGTAATACATCACTTCTCACTGGCAAAAACAAATTGTTCACCAAGTATTAATAAGTTACATATGCCAAGCTATAAGATGGTATGTATATAGCTCATTTTGTATTGAGCAATAGTGGTTGGACATCAAAGGAAGAAGCTTTTTCAATACTAGAACAAATCTGTGTTGAGGAAGAAGAAATTTCCCATGACGTGGTGAGATCAATTGTGCTGAATTCAATTTCTTCGAAATTCTGTTTAGGCCTCACAACGGACGAAGTCACCTCTTTTTGTCCCATTCTAATTGCTTCCAATTCAAAGGCAACTTCTTTCATTGGGGGCCTATTTTTACCTTCCCTATCCAAGCATCTTGTAGCAAGATGGGCAACAGCCATCATCTGCTCTATTGAAGCATCCTTTTCAATTCGAGCATCTAGAATCTCAACTAAACGATTTTCTTCCATTGTGTGAGTAAAATATGAGGACAAACTCCGACCTTCTTGGGCTTCTGTTGAAGTGACAGCCCTTAGTCCAGTTAAAAGCTCAACAACCACAACACCAAAGCTATAAACATCACTTTTATCGGTTAATCGGTGTGTGTAGAAGTATTCTGGATCCAAGTATCCAAAGGTCCCTTGTACAATGGTGGTCAAATGAGTGTGGTCAAGGGTGACTGATCTTGAAGCCCCAAAATCTGAAACTTTTGCCTTGTACTTGTCATCCAAGAGGATGTTAGATGACTTAATGTCTCGATGATAAATGGGTGTTGACGCTTTATTATGCAAATAAGAAACAGCTTCTGCTATTTCTGTGGCAATTCGTAGGCGTACTTCCCATGTTAATGGGAAATCTTCATTAGCATCATGAATGAGCTGAAGCAATGTTCCGTTTGGAATAAACTCATAGACTAGTAGGGGAACTTCAGTCTCCAAACAACATCCTATGAGTTTAACAACACTCCTATGGTTAATTTGTGAAAGAATGACAAGTTCATTAATAAATTGCTCAACTCTTCCTTCATCAATCATTTCTGATTTTTTTACTGCTACGATTCTTCCATCAGACAGCATACCCTTATAAACAGTACCTTGACCTCCTTTACCAAGGGTACGATCTTTATTGTAATTGTCAGTTGCCTTCTCTAACTCTTTTGACGTAAACACTTTGGTTTTTTCAACATTGCCATTGCTTGATGAGAGCTCTCGTTGCAACAATAGGCCACCATTCCGTTTAAAAAATTTCTTCTTGCGCTTCATTTCCCGTCTTCTTTTTATTACTTTGTATAACCACCAAGTAACAAGAAGTGAAAGCAATCCTCCAAACCCAGAACAAACACCTATCAAAATAATATATTATTTGACGCGTGCTTTGAATATTGAGAAGATTAAATGTAATGCACAAGCATGCACGCACACACACAGATGTGTGTGTGTGTGTGTGTGTGTGTGTGTGTGTGTGTGTGTGTGTGTTTGGGAGGGGAGAAAGAAGATGCTAGCTAGCTAGTTTGCTCCATTTGTTACATTTTTAGAGATCAAAAGTAAATATTGTGAAAATAACTGATAGTACACATTTCCTCATGTTGACAAAATAAAAGATGCAATCATCTTGAAATTCACTAGGCAGTTCAAATTACATAATGAACTAATCCATTCTTTTTCTAGGTTAGCTCTTGAGGTTTTTATTTTCTCTTCTTTTTGTTTCATTTGACAGAAAGTTAACACCCAATACTCACTTCGACCTCAAAACAAATAAAAATGATAGCATTATTAAATTTCCATTTATTAATTTATCTTAAGATCTAAATAAGAGTATTACCAACAGTGATCATTTTTGCCTCCTTGCATCCAGGAGCCATCGGTTTCTTCTTACAATGATCTGATACACAAAGAAGTAACAAATAAAAAAAGGAAAAATGCATTAATTATGAAACTGAAGAAAATAAAGACTACCCATCTGCAAGTCTTGTGCATTATGTTTCAGTAAAAGATGTGTTGGTATGTATATAAAAGACTTCAATTTTAGCATCCATTTGGCAAGAAAATGGTTGTTGCGTCAATACTGTCCGACTTCTTTTCTCACCAATTCATTGAATGTGGTTTTATTTTAATTTATTCATACTATAATGAAAAAAATGGTAAGCAATTGGTTTTTATTATTTTGAAATTGAATTAGTGAGTTGAAAGAAATATAATAAATTTATTTATTTTTATTTAAAACCTTTGCTAGTTCTCTCTTTGCTATTATTTAGGGTGACTAATTTAAAATGAAATAATGAGTTGAAAGAAAACTTCTAAATTCATCTCAAATCACATGTCCACAACGGACGCAATTCAATTGTACAATGATAATAGTGTCTTTTCAACTTTTCATGCATGCATTTTGACTCCTTTTTATTTTATCAATTAATTTATGTTCCATAGAGAACTACGTAATAAACAAAATATTTTGAACACAATAATGAAGGACCATGAATCCGAGTAGAGCATGGACTTACTTTCACAGCCATTGGGAATATACGGACTTCCTTCGTATGCGTCCCCACACCAGCATCTGGAGCCTTCAAAAGCTCACAGGAATAGAGAATGAAAGATCTTAAATTTTCCACGTAGGAAAGTAAATAATAAAATTTTCAAGAAAATGCAAGAATAGAATTTTTGAATAGAGAATTCCACCTCACCTTTGGAATTTTTTGGATTTTAGTACCCTGGCTTACGGGTACAAATAAAATTTGTCCATGTAGGCAAGATAGACACATGTCATCAAAAGATTTAATTGAAAATTAAAATATTTTAAGGAATTTTTTAATTAAATACAAAATATATCTATTTTAAATTTTTCAATACACCTAGAGGTAATTTGTATATTTCTCTTTAAAAAAAAATGTTATTTTATGAACTTTTATTTTCTACATAAACAAATTTTATTTGTCTATGTGCTTAGGAATTTGAAACCCAAAAATCTTCTTGGATACCGAAGAGTTCTCCTTTTTAAAAACTTTTGAATAATTCAGATTATTTATATACTTACATGTACTTTTAACATCTGTAATAGGATTAATTTTGCTTTGCCTCCTCAAAATTTTATTGTAGGGTCAAAATTCTATTCAAAATGTAAGGTGAGTTTTCCATTCATTAGTCTAACATAGGTTACATTTAAACTAAAAAAATTTGAAATGTAAAATGAATTATGCTAAACTATGAGGTAATGTTTTAAAACTCGGACTAGTAATTAAACCACTAAGGTCACTAGTTCACGATTCAATTGGTTTAACTACCAGTCAAACTGGTAGATAATAAAAAATATTTAAAAAATAATTAAAATTTTAATAAGTTAAGTATAGTCGAATAGTATACTTTTTTTTTGTTTAAATTTTATACAATACTTAAGACTATAGATGACATGGCAACATTAACATATATTTTTATTATTATCTATTCATTTTATATATATAATTTTAATTAAAAATTTTAGGAAATAATCTTTTTTGAGAATATAATTTTTACTTTTTTATATTGTTTTTAATTTTCTATTTTTTCAATATTTAAATTAGATGAAACATATTGTAAAAAATTATTAAAAATATTTTTTCTAAAATTTCTTATATGCTCTAATATCATTGTTTAACTATAATTAAATAAAATAAAAATTAGTTTTTTAAAACTACAAATGGGTTCTTGGTTTCAAATTGCAAGGGGCAAAGAGGCAGGGAGAGAGATAGGGACAGAGAGAGGTAAGGGTTGATTTGAAAAATTTGAACCAACTCTTTTTGATAGATGGCAATTTTCAGGGACAGAGAGGGGGGGGGGGTTTGAAAATTTGAACCAACCCTTGTTCGATGGGTGGTAATTTTTAGGGAAGAGAGAGGGCCTAAGGATTGCTTTGAATTGTTTTAAAAAATGGTAAAAATAGGCTGATTTGACCGGTTTTGATTAGGTTTGTCTGGCCTAATTTAATTTTTGATTTTAAGGTATCATCAAGATCATTTATTAGGCTAATTCATGGTTAAACCAACCGGACCAGTCCAAATTTAAAAACACTGCTATGAGGTCCAAAATGCCATGTACACTCCTTAATTCCCAAATAGTCTATAGTGGAATTTTTTCTAAGTCATGTTGACAATCTAGTAAATAAGCATCATTTGTCTAAGTGATGAATTTGCGATCTAAAGACGATTATGTGCTTAATAGCAGGTTGAACTGATATTTAAGTAGAAAAAATGTTATATGTTCATGGTGATTGTTAACAAGCTGCGAGGTTACTAAATTTTCACGCCACATGATAATGAAATAAATGTTGAACAAAAAGCTAAGTAATGAAAGTAACTTGACATGGTAGATACTTAGGAGCAACTGTTTGGATGTGTTACTGTAAGTTTTGTTATATTCCCTTTTGTAGGTTCTACATTTTGAACCCCTAAATGGATCTACAATCTTTTGTTATAATAGAAAGTTACTAAAATTTAATTTTGAAACTATGATATTTCATTTCATATTAATTTCTGAAAATAATGTGATATAATATATAAGAGAGTAGAGAGTATTATTAAATAAATTAGATTTAAATATTTTGAGGCAATAGTTTAAACTTAATAAATTGTCATGATCAGTAACTTTCAAGTCATTACAGAAGTATATGTAATTATTTCATATTAAAAATAATGATAAGTAATTTGTTTCATGATACAACAAAATCTAAAAATATTTTCAATATAATTAAAAATTTATTTATAAAATGATAGAAATTTAAATTTTTATAAATACAAAAAATACACAAATTAATAGATAAAAATGTTTAGTTAAGAGTAAAGGGACTATTTTAATTCAAATTCGAATATGAAAATAATAATAATTTATTACTTTCAAAAATAAACAAATAAATGTTTTTGAAGATAGTAATATATATATATATATATATATATATAGAAAGTTGAATTATTTTCAAATAATTCCATTTAGTCACTTTTATATTAATTGATTTTGGTTTGATTTAAATGCATTAATTAAAATTTCCAAACAGTGTTATTTTGTTTAATTTTGAGATCTGTGTCGAAATCAAGCAACTAAACAGTCAACACCCCTAGGAGTAAGAGTAAAAAAACATGAGCATGAAATTGCGGATAGCCAAGGGCTCGGGCTTACCTTCAGATCCAGAGGAAGATCATGATCTCCTTTGTGCCCGTACCAGCAATAACACTCTTTGTTATATATATTTTTTTCTCTCCATTGAAATGATCGGGAACTGTTGAAATACCGGAGGAAGTAATGTTTTTGTGGTGGTAACAATTGGTAGGCTTTGTTTGGCTGGCATTCAAAGCCCATTCTAGCGCCGCAGGAACATGTGTCATATTCCGAACCTCCGAGACGCTCCCCATCGCGTCCTCGAACCACTGATCGTATGCCACGAAGGCATAGCTACAGTTATCAAGTCGGTGTTGGTTTCCGTTCTTCATGCCTACAGCTTCTGGTGTGAAATTTGTGCGGAAGGCTCGAAGATTGGATGGGATCGAGGCCTGACAGTAATTGTTGCCAGAAGCGCTGTTTTCCCTATAGTAGTTTTTATTATGAGCGAAACAAATAGGGATGCACGCACCAATCGTGCTGTTGTCCGTGTCCAAAATTGAGGCAACGTTGTCACACCCCACGGCCACGAAAATGTTGTAAGTATCCGAGAACCAAAAACTGGTTCCTCTTAACTCCACACCCTTAAAATTATTCCGATTACAGTCGTTCGAGAACATTACCGGATGTTGAACTATGATATAGTTACCCGGTAGTGAAATGTTCACCACTTCCAGACCAAGGAAGGTTGGTTTAGAGTAATTGCACTCTATGGCGAATCCTTCAACATAACAGTCAGGACTTTGGCTTAATCCAAAAGGATAGGGAATTCTGACATTTCCGCACTTTTCTTGACACCCTGGCTTCACCATAGATGATGAAGCTGTCCTCGCAAGGACAAAGATACAAATTGTTTTAATCACTATGAGCCTCAGCATTAGCAGAAAGCTCGTGTGAATTCCCATCTCCCAAGACTCCAACTTCTCTCTCTCTCTATCTCTCTCTCGTGTAATATTTTTGATGTATTAGAAGTATAAACCTGAAAGAAGTTGAGCGCAAATAAATAATCTTCTGGCGTTCATATGGATCTCACGGATGACGTCATGTCATTTCAGTTAAGCCTTCAATTCTTTTTCTTTTCTAATTATTAGAATTTCTAACAACCTTTATAATTTATTAGAGACAAAAATTACCCTACT